CGCCCTCCCCGTCTTCACTCGCGACGACTTCGAGGGCGACTGGCGCCGGGTGGCCAGCGGCGGCTTCGGCCAGGTGTTCCAGGCGCGGCACAAGCGCTGGCGGACCGAGTACGCCATTAAGTGGTCCCCCTGCCTCCAGCCGGACGCCAGCAGGTACCTCCCGCCCTGCTCCTCTCCTTTCTCGGGGGAGGAACGAGCTTTTAGCTCAGGGCCCTCCAGAGGAGAGGTGCTGGGGTGAGGCCCAGGGGTCCCTTCCGTGTTCCCAGACAGACAGCATCTGTGTCCGTCTGAAAAAAGGTGGGCACACGATCCCTGCTTGTGACACCAAGGGAGGGCAGAGGTGAGCGGCAGTCCCCGCAGAGACGCCTTAGTCCCATCTGACCTCCAAACCTGCCCTGCCTCCTAACTCCAGCGCCTGCTTCCCTGTGGGTGTTCTGAGAGACGTCTTCTCTTGGCAGGCCTCCGCCACCTCTGCCCACTCCAGGGCAGGGCTGGGCTCAGGGATCTTTAGGGAACCATGTCATCTCTTGCCATAGTCGTTGGGCGGATTCCTTCCCAGCCAGTGCCGGCTCAGGAGACTTGGGGAGGGAGACCAGGAGCCTGCTGGGCTGAGTGTGCAGGCCGCTCACACAGGTCCTACCGGGAGCCCAGGCTGCAGTCCCATGAGGTCTGGCCTTGCTTTTTCCCCCATTTTTTTTTCCCCAAAGTTTTTTTTTTCCCCCAATAAGGCATGTACGTTCCCCAGAGAGAGACAGAGAGACAGTGAGAGAGAAAGTGCGAAATCACCCACTGATGGGGGGATGGCCACACAGCAATTTCTTCTCCATTCACCTCCTGGGATTTTGGGCACACACACACCCAAGCCGCCAGGTCCAGGACTTGAACCATGGTCGGCCATGTGCAAGTCAGGGTCATAACTCCATGCCACCGGCTGGCTCCATTGCCCCCAACTTTCATCATAGCGTTGTGGCCAAGCGCAAGCCTTGTCTCCCTTTCCTCTTACTATTTTCCACTGCTCTCGCTTATCCCTGTCTTCCCCTGGGCCGGCCCCGCTCTGGTTCCCACTGGATTGTGTGTGCTCGCCATGTGCTTAACCTTTGCAGCCATGAAGGGACATTTGGGAGGTTACGTCTGAGCAGGATCCCAAGGCTCTTGGATGTCAGCCAGATGGCCTGGGGAGGGGCTTCTCCTACCGGCATCTCATCTCTGGCTCCCTCCATGCAGACTCTCCAGACACAGCCTCGGGCCCCACGCTCTAAGCCAGTCCCTTCTCGCAGGTCCCCACCACCTTTTGAACATCTGCCTGTTCGCAACATGTTATGTCAAGATTTGTCCAAATCATTTATAGCCTTCAGAAAAAAGAACGGAAGGAAGCAGGTGGCGTCCACCGGACTGTACTGTTATAGTGAGGATAACTGGGCCCCCGGCCTTCCCAGGTTCTGGGACTTCCCTGCTGGAATGTGATTAATGCCTGCTATGTGTGGAGTACTAGAGGACTTCCCTCTGTCCCCCGGGGATCTCTTCATTCATTCGTTCATGTACATGGCAGTTATTGCACTCCTCTCTGCAAGGGACCTGGGGTGTGACGATGAGTACAAAGTGTGGCTCTGCTCGCCCAGAGCTCGCAGCCTAAGGGGAAAAAGACATTAATCAGATAACCCCAGGGTAAAGGTAAGCACTACCCTGCCAAGTGCAAGAGGAGAGAGATTTAAGGCTCCGTGAGAGGTTGTTCGCAGAGTGTGACACAGGTCAGAAAAAGCATCCCTAAGAGAACTATGCCAGAGATGGGAGCTGAAAAATGTGTAAGTAGGTGAGGAGGAGAAAGATTTCTAGGAACGAGCAAAAGAATGTGCAAAGGGCCTGTGGCAGAGGGACCAGCAGGTGGTGTGGTGATTAATATGCTAGATCCCACATGGCTGTCTCTGTGGTTCAAGTCCCGGACTCAGCGGCACACCAGGCACAAGCGCGTGGGTGTCCAAATCCCGAGAAGAATGAAGGGGAAGGGACTGTGGCATGGCCATCCTCCTGGGGAATGATTTATCACTTTCCCTCTCTCTCTCTGTCTCCACTGAGCAGTGAGCACATATACCCTATGGCAAAAAAAATTAAAAAAAAAAAAAAAAAAAAAGACCTGTGGCAGGAACAGAGTGGCCAGGACAAGGATGGGGAAAGGCCGTCATGGCCGGAGTGAGGGAGTGAAGGGATCGTGGAAAGCCACCAGGGGGTCTGCAGCCAGGTGGGGGTGGCGAGGGGGAGGAGTCCATCAGATCTGCAGTGTGGACAATGGTGTGGAAGGGGTGGGTACCGGTCCTGTCAAGAGATGATCGGGGCCTAAATTGGGGTGTTGGCGGTGGGGAGAGAGTGAAAGGGATGGACTAAGCAATATTAAGGAGGTAAAAGCCCACCCGACTAGTTGCTGAATTGGCTGCGGGAGGCATGATGAGGAAGAGGGGTGTCAAGGTTAACCCCGTGTCTGACTTACCCTGAGGAACGGAGGGTGCGCTAGGATGTCCATGAGAGCAGGGGTCACGTCGGGTTTGTTCACTGCTCCAGCCCAGTGCCTGGCACACAGTTAGCATTCAGTAGATACTCATTGAACAGTGGGGTTCATAACAGAGGGACCGTGAAAAGAGGCCCGGGTCTGAGGAGGGAGAGCATAAATTGAACTTTGCACACACTGAGTTTCAGGAACCTTTTTTGGAGAGGTTTTCACTGTAAGGTGCGTGCGCTCACCAGACAGACAGAGAGAGACATAGAGACAGAAAGCAAGAAATCACCCCCCAGAGGGGATGGTCACGCCGCAATCCCTTCTCCTCCATTCTCCTCTCGGGATCTTGGGCATGCACGCACACGCACCCGGCGTGAGTTTTAAGCCACGGGGTCCGGGACGTGAACTGCGGTCGACTACGTGGGAGTCCAGCGACATAGCCATTACGCTAACTGCTGGTTCCCCAGAGTTTCAGGAGCCTTTAAACAGCCAAGAAGTATTGCTGATTTGATTTCATAGTATTACTGGAGCTAACAGCATCACGCTTTGTGAGTCGAGTGGTAATTGAAACCAGGGCACGGCTCGTTCTCAGCACTAAGTGAACAAAGTCAAGTCCCTGCCTTCATGGAATCCATACTGTAATAAAGGAAGATACTACATAGATAGATGATGGATGATAGAACTTTTACCTGTAGATCTTATAAGCACCTGATCGTCTCTTGGTTGAAACACCTAAGGAAAGTTGAGCAGTCTGATCTTCCAAGATAGGTTTGATCTAGAAATATTAATCCAGGGGCCAGCAGGTGGCATAGTGCTTAAGGTGCTGGATTCCCACATGGCTGACAACCCAACGGCTTGAGAAATCACACCGGGCCTGTGTGCGTGCATGCCCCAAATCCCAAGAGGAGAATGGAGGAGAAGGGATTGTAGGATAGCTATCCCCCCAGGGAGTGATTTCTTACTTTCCTTTTCTCTGCCTCTCTCTCTCTGGTAAGCGTATATACCCTATGGCAAAAACCTAAAAGAAAAAAGAAAAAGAAAAAAAAAAAAAAGAAAAGAAATAGCAATCTGCTAGCCATTGCAGTGGTGCCAGCGTTGAGATGGAGTTACAGATTTCCTATGGTCATGTCTGTGGAAGCTTTGCTCCCTAGGTGGGATTTGAGTCGAGGTTTGTGCAAATGAAGGGGCGAGCTGGGCGGACCTCTTGGGGAGTGGCCTTCTAGGGAGAGGGTACAGCTGAGCAAAGATTCTTCCTGGAACACCATGGCATGGAGGAACGGCGCGAGGCCTGTGTGGAGGGAACAGTTGCAGCGGGAGTGTGGTGGGCGATGAGGTCAGTGAGCCATGCCTGGGGGTGGGAGGAGGTCACGTAGGGCTTTGTTGAATATTACAAGAACCTGGGCCTTAACTAAGAGTGAGAAGAGAAGCATTGGAGGGCCCTGAGGAGGGCAGTGGCAGGGCTGTCACACACACTTTTTTTTTTTAGAGGTTTTTGCTGTAGGGCATGAAGAAAAAAGAAAGAACAAAAGAGGTGCCCACTGGAGAGAGTCGGAGACAGGGAGGGGGAAAGTGAGAATCTCCCCAAGGAGGAATGGGCACTCCACAATCCCTTCTCCATCCTCCTCCCCAAATCTTGAGCACAGACACACACATGCCCAGCATGATTTTCAAGCCAACGGATCTGAGACTTGAACCTCAGTTGGCCATGTGGGAGTCCAGCAACGTAACCACTATGCCATCTGTTGGCCCCAACACACACATCTTTAAAACATCACGCTGGCTGCTGGGTTGAGAATGGATTGTGTAAGGGAAGAGGGAGAAGCAGAAAAGCCATTGAGGAGGCTTGGGCCAAGATGTAAATGGGAGACGTGAGAAGTAGATTCTTCAAGACTTTGACGGTGGAGTTGACAGGATTTGCTGAGTTACTGGAAGAAAAAGGTCAAAGAAGACACCGAGGTCTTGTCTGAGGAGTTGGAGGTTGGAGGCCTCATTCACCGAGAGGAGGAAGGCTGAGGGAGGAGTGGGTATTGGGGGGGAATAAAGAGAATCACTTTAGACACGTGAACCATCAAATATTCTCCAGCTAGAGATGTTGAGATTGACAAGAGGAAGAATAGAGAGTGAGAGGAGAGGCCTAGGACCAAGCCCAGAAAATGAGCCTGCAGAGGAAGTGACCAGAAAGGGAGGGAGAAATCCGGCAGAAGGCTGACATGCAGCTGAGGTACGAGAGATGCAAGAACACAAGAGGCAGAGATCAGAACCGTTCGTACGCTGGAACCGGGGCTTGTACGTTGGACATAGCAACGGGGGACACGGGCCTCCTTAGCAAGAGGTGCGCAGTGAAGTACCGAGACCAAAAACGACAGGAAGATGGTGGGCCATGAGGAAGAGGAGAGGCAGCAGCAACACTTTCAAGGAGTCTGGGCGTGGCGGGGAATCACGCATGGCTGGTACTATTATTCCCATTGACAGTTTAGAACCTGAGACCCAGAGAGGCCTTGCCCCGGCCATGCAGATAAGTGGTGAGATTGGATTTAAAATCAGGGCCATGTGGCCCCCGGATCCCATGATTTTCTCACTTCCCAACAGATGTTGTTCTAGTTCCTAGGGACCCAAGAGGAAAAGAGGCAGCAGATTCACCTGCTGAGACCAATGAGAGTGGGAGGTTTTTCCTAGAGGTTGAGTTTTCCAGCTGGCTTCCCAGGGAGGCCCTGTGTTCCTCTGACTGCAGTGCCACCACGGCTCCACAAATACTGTGCTTTGAAAATGTTCTCCTCACTCCGCAGGCCCACCATCCCAAGACCATCTGTACCAATTTGCATATTTACTGCTCTGTGGGCACCTGCGGTGAAATGAGCGAGAGGGATTGAAAGTGCTTGCTTTGTAAGGCCTTCCCTAAGTCTTGGCTTCGGTGCAATTCAACGATGCGCCGTGCGGTACGTGGAAATGGACTGTGGGCAGGCCAGCGATGGATGGCTAGAGCTCACCCATCCAACGCAGTACTGTATGGCCATTACAGACCATGTTTCAGGAGAAAAACACAACGAAGAAGTGCCGTGTTCCACTTACTACGTGACGAAAAGAGAGGAGAGCAGGGTGAAAGGGAGGGAGAAAGGAGAAAAGCTACCTTGAAAACAGCCTACATCCTGCCGTATTAACCAAGAGCACCTCAAGAGGGTCGGGTTTCAGATGCTTTAATTTCCTCGCTTATAGCTCCCCATGGATTTCTACAAGGCATTTATATTACTTTCATCATCAAAGTGGCAATAAGTAATATTTTAAAGCAGAAGCATGAGCCATAATGATAGTTCTCCAGGGAAGATAAATATGGAAACAAATAGCTAGAATAGATGGCAGACTGTGACACGGGTCTTTGTGGCCACCTCTGCAGAGTGGGGCGGCTCCTATAGCTGCCAACTCCTTTGCTTCGTGCCTTGTCACTGCTGGTCACCCGCTGCCTCCAGAATGCCACTTCATGCTTCTCTTTCCTCCTCCGCTACCTTGCAAGCCTGTGGGTGTCTCTGGTCCCTCCAGCCCAGCATCACACCTAGTGTGTGTGTCGTGCTGGTTGCTCTACTTATCAATGGCTCACCCTCCTCCCTCTCTTGCTTTCCCCTCTCCATAGCTCCGATGTGAACTGCCTTATTGAAGAAGCAGCCAAGATGGAGAATATCAAGTTTCAGCACATGTGTCCATCTACGGAGTGTGCACGTGACCGCTGGGCATCGTGATGGAGTTCATGGCCAACGGCTCCCTGGAGAAGATGCTGCCCACTCACAGCCTCAGCTGGCAGCTCAAGTTCTGCATCATCCACAAGACCAGCTTGGCCATGAACTTCCTCCACAGTAGCAAGCCACCTCTGCTCCACCTGGACCTCAAGTCTGGCAACATCCTCCTGGACAGCAACGTGCACGTTCAGGTAGAGAACCCGTCAGCCCCTGGGCCTCTTCTCACTCTGGAGTCTCCTCCATGGGAGCAGGATTGTCTAGCTGCCCTACTGGCCTGCCAAGGGTTTTGGATAAATGCTGAAGGCAGGGTTACATTTAAAAACAGATGGGTAGGGACCAGCAGATGGCGTAATGGTTATGTCACTGGACTTTCATGTTGTCAAGCATGGTTCAAGTCCCAGACCTGGAGGCTTAAAACTAATGCCAGGCATGTGTGCATGCATGCCCAAAATCCCAAGAGAAAACTGGAAGAGAAGGTGTTGTGTCATGGCCATCTCCCCTAGAGGGTGATTTCTCGCTTTCTGTCTTTCTGTCTCTCTGGCGAGCCTTTGCCCTATTGCAAAAATCTCTCTTAAAATAAAAAAAAAGAGAGAGAGAAGTGGGTAAGCAGAGGATTTGGTGCATGAGGCAGGGTATCAGAGTACCTGCAATTACTCTCTTTGGGACTCAGTTCCATCTTCAAAGAGTAGAATGGACCCTATTCCTCTCATCCCTTGCTTTGGGTAGGGGTGTGTGTAAATGAGATAACCCCCAAGCATGGCCATTTTTTCTAGTTCCTAAAATATGCTGCATCCTCGTCTGCACCAGGACCTTTGCACATTCTGCTCTTCCCCTTCTCTTTATCTAGCAAAGTCCTATTCATATTCTAGCTCCTAGCTCAAATATCACCTCCTCAGGGAGGTCTTCCAAGTCTACCCCAATAGGCTTCTGTTGTGTATACCCTCACTGCACCCCCATCCCTTCATCTTGCTAGCCCCAACTGTACATATATAATCATTTGTGAGGCTCACATTGACTGCACCCCCTGTGTGAATAAGCACGTAGGAGGAGTGTGGTGGATGCTATGTCATCATTCGTATCTGCTGCCTGACCCTCAGTCCCCAGCCCAGTCGGCCCTCAGCAAATGGCCAATAGACGAGTGACCGACTCGATGGTTGGAGGCGAAGAGGGGGTAAATGCAGATGATGGAGGTGCTTCAGGCCTGCGGAGGCGGGATGAACTGGAGCTCACCGAAAACGGGGGCCCCCTCTCCCCGTGGCCCCTCCGGATAATAGCAACACCCGCCCAGTACTTGCCCCATTCCAGGCTCCGTCCTGACTGCTTTGAGCACACCGCCTCATTCCATGCTCATCGTAGTGCTGTGAGTGAGGTGCTCAGATCGTTTCCAGTTTCCAGATGAGGAAGCCAAGGCCCGAGGAGACCAGTAACTTGTCCAAGATCGTGCACGTAGGAAGTGGCAGAGCTGGGAGGCAGTGTGATAGGAGCTGCCTGCACGGGGGCGCTAGAATGGACAGACAGTCGGAGGGCTGAGAGGCCAAGGCGGTGTTCTGGAGGAGGCACTGCACAGGGAGCCCATCCTTTGCTCGGGCTTCCTCCCAGATCTCAGACTTCGGCCTGACCAAGTGGATGGAGCAGTCGACCCGGATGCAGTACATTGAGAGGTCGGCCCTGCGGGGCACGCTCAGCTACATCCCCCCTGAGGTGTTCCTGGAGAGTACAGGTGAGAGGGGGCTTAGCTCCCGCCACACGCCCCGGGGCAGTGGTCTGGTCCCCAGGGCCCAGAGTCAGGGTAGGATGGAGGAGGTCTGCCCATCCCTTTCTAGGAGGAGGAAGGGGAGGGGAGCGAGGCGGAGCCAGGAGGGAGAGGGTTTGCTGGGATTGTGTGGTCCTTAGGCGACCCTGGCGGGGTGACGTGGATCTCTGACAAAGTCACTCAGGGAGCATTTCCCCATCCGCAGCTTCGGGATTGTCATCTGGGAGCTCCTCACGCAGAAGAAACCGTACTCAGGTATCAGGTGGCTGTGGCTCTGTGTCCGGGGGTGGGGGGCAGGTCCCATCCAATGGGGTCCTGGAAGGAGCAATGGGAGGGCTGAGGCGGGGAGGGCAGAACGAGGGGCAGGCTTGTGTTGGGAAGCCGTGTTCTCCCTGCGGGATCCTACGCCCATCTACTGAGCTCCCTCCCCATACGCATCATAGCAAGAGAGAAGATGGAAGTCGGCCTGGACCGAACCCTGTGGTTCTAACCCTCTTGCCTCTGAAGTGCCCTTACCTGCCTTCTCCTGTCCCTACCCCCCCACCTAGATGCTAGGGAAATAGACTGTCAGGAAACTTGGGCAACCTTGGAACACTTAAATCAAAGCCGTTCCCAGGCCGTGGGTCAGGCCTGCTGCCCTGGACAGCAAAGGCCTGCAATGCGTGGTCATGTCCAGCCGTGACCCAGAGGTGCTGGAGCTGGACTGTAGAGACTCCGCTGCTCGAATCAGAGCAGCCGATTCACGTTGGTCCATGATCAGCTGCTTACTCACCAAGCACTGATGGAGCTCCTACTGTGTGCTTACCACGCTGCGGGATCCTCCAGCCCCACCCTGAGGCCCAGCCTTCCAGCACCCACACAGCCTGGGCCTCCTCCACAGGGTTCAACATGATGACCACCATTGTCCGAGTAGCCGCGGGTATGCGGCCCTCCCTGCAGCCTGTCTCCGATGAGTGGCCAGGCGAGGCCCAGCAGATGGTGGGCCTGATGAGGGGCTGCTGGGACCAGGACCCCAAGAACGGCTTTGCAGGTGCCGTTCCAGCCTCGGCTGCTCAGGAACAGGGGAGCTGGGTGGAGCCAGGAGGGAGAAGACTGGGCCCTAGGCCACTCCTGAGAGCTCTGCAGGGAGACACCTGCCGCACTAGGGCCTGGAGTGGCTCGTGAAGGCAGAGTCTGTACCTCAGGGCTGAGGTGATGGCGGGTGTGGGGAGGAATGGGGAGGAAGATGGGGGAGGTCTTTGTGCGTGCTAATGTGTGTCCCCGTGGGAGATGGAGTAGGGAACCCTCGTTGCCAGCAGGCAGCAGCCATGGGTCTGCTGCCAAGCTCCCCAGTTGGCCTCGGGTCCTTTCTGGGCTATGTGTCCTTATTTGTGTGTGTTCCCAGACCATGACATCATGGCCTAAACGGCTCTCCAACCTTTTAGGGACTGAAAACTCACGCATGTTGAGTTCGGAGATCATCCCCCACTCCCAGGGAAAGGGGTGTGATCCTCCGAGGGTCAGCGACTTGCCGAATGCGGGGCCAAGGCTGGGACCCAGGCTTCCTGCCTCCTGGTGTGCATGTATGGATATATGTGAGCCCAGAAATGGACTGGGGGGACACAGGAGCTGTCAGGGGTTCTAAAACAGGGAAGGGGCCTCATTCACCTCCTTTTCTCTCTCCCTCATGGAGCAGACGTCACAGTGGAGACAGACATGCTGCTGGCCCTGCTGCAGAGTGCTGTGGCTGACCCGGAGAGCAAGGCCCTGGCCAGGAAGGTGTCCTGTAAACCACCACTGCACCGGCCCCAGAAGGTGAGTGCAGCGGGCCAGGCAGGCCGGGCCACCGTGTTGGCTACGTGCAAGACACTGCCTTCACGTGCGAGTCATGCCTTGCATAAGGCCACCAGCTGAGAGGGCGAGCGGCGGCGGGAAGCTTGTCCCCTCCGTTTTGCTCG